GCAGCAGGGCAGGCCAAGGGCAGCCCGAGGCCCCGCGTGGGCAGCTCCCTCCCGCCGTCCCGCTGCCCACGGGGGCCACGTCCCCGGCACACCAAGCTGGCAGCATCGCCTGGCTCCATCCCGGGGGAAAGAGGGGAATTCTGCCATTTCCAGGTCCGAGCTGCAGCCTGAGCAGTAACAGCTGGAGCTGGCTCTCGCTGCCAGGGAAATGTGCTCTCACTTTAACCTGGAGCCGCAGGAGCGGATCCTGCCCGGCATCGCCCGGCTGGCATCCCTGGCTGGCAGCACCGTGCCCGCGGGAACGGGCTGCCCGGCGCGGGGCTCCCAGCGCGCGGCCCAGCCACAAGAAAGGCCGCGGGCCGGACTTTCCCTGGCCTGGGTCACTGCCAGCCTTTCATCTCACACTCCCCGGCAAATCCCTGTCCAAACACTGCAGATTTCTGACATTTTTTTGCAGCAAAATAAACTCCCAGTGCATCTCTAATTCCGGGGCTTTGTTGTCCTTCCGCAGGGGCTGCAGTTTTGCTCCGCGCCGCCGTGCTGTGCTGGGGTGAGGGCCGCTCCGATGCCGAAGGAAAACACGGCAGCCGGCCGGTCCCCTCGGAGCCCCATGTCCCTCTCCATGTCCTCGCTCTCAGCTCCCTGGGAGCAGAGGGAAAACAAGCGAAAGAACAAACACGAGGGGAATGTTTGTCATTGCAGAGGGCAATGCTGGGGATATCGCAGGGATGTGAGACATTTCCGCAGCAGCAGCTTTGTACTGGCAAATGAATCCCCACGTAGGGCGGCTGCGGCCAGGCAGCACCAGGCAGGATGCGTGCGGTGCTGGAGTCCTCGCCGTGCCGGGATGTGTGCCGTGTCGGGCAGGATGCTCGCTGCACCGGGATGCATGCCGTGCCAGGTGGGATGCATGGGATGCGTGCCGTGCCAGGCAGGATGCTCGCTGTGCCGGGATGCATGCTGTGCCAGGTGGGATGCATGCCGTGCCGGGCAGGATGCT